GCAATTATACCCCAATAAAGATGTTTAAAAAAAAAAAAAAAAAACTAGGACAAAAAAAAAAAAAAAAATAAAGAGCCTGCAGTTTTCACCCTCCAATGTAAACCTATACAGTTAAGAAGTTTACAATGAAGGATGTATATAAAACTGGATATATATACTTACAAAGGTTCATTTAGATCAAATTTTAATGGAGAGGGGGGCCTTTTTGGTGACTGCCAAAACAAACCTAACAAAATACAAAATATTATTTTCAGTGTCAGCAGTCAGTAATAAATTGCATTAAACTTTCTTCTCAACACTGATATATACTTACTGCCATCTTTTAATCGTGTGTCCAGAGGGAAACAGTGAAGAAGCTGAAGAGCCTAAAGAAAAAATTGAATTAAAAAAAAATCACTACTTAATATTAACTGAAGTAAAAAAACCTCAAAAAACAACATACATAAAAAGATATATAGTGAAGTCTTCCGGTCACCGTGTACTCAATCTGCTCATTCTCCTGTCACTGCCCCCCACCCCAACTTGGAATAACCTCTATTGCTATTTTTTATCAACACTTATATAGTCTTTTTTCTTTTTTTTGCATCTATGGCAAACATGAATATAGATTATTTTATCCCTTTTCACAAACGGTGGCATATTTTACATATCATTCTGCTCCTTTCAAAGAGCTAATCCTTAAAACAAGCAAATAAAAAACAGTAAAAATACATAGTATTTTATATTTTGAAATGATATGCTGCTTGAGATTTGCTTCAAAACCATCTGGGGGAGGGTATATTAGGTGGGATTATAGATGAAATAAGATTTTCTATGAGCTGTTAATTGTTAAACCTGGGTGACAAATATATGAGGAATACATGGAGATTAATTATATGCTATTTTCTCTATTATTTCTGTGGTTGAATTTTTCCATGATAAAAAAAAGTTAAAAAACCCATAGAAGGAGAAAAAAGAGTTCTGTAGATTTTGAAACATGAGGTCATTGATAGTCATGGTAAGAATAATTTCAATAGTTGTGGGGAAAGAAGACACATTTACTGGATGAACACATGGCAACAGTTAGTATAGACCACTTTTCCAAGAAGCAGAGCAAAAAAGGAAGTGAAAAACAGGAATAAGTATAATTTAAAGACTTTAAAAGATGAGCTTATTTTATATTCCAATAGGTAAGAGCCTAAAGAGAGGGAGAGACTAAACAGAGTGCAGGACACATTCAAGCTTCTGTATGTAACTGGAGTAAGAATAACAGCTAATATTTCACTAAATATTTATGGGATGGACCAGGTTCTATGCTAAAGACTTTGCATGTATTAACTCATTTGATCCTCACCACTATGCTATGAGTCAGGCACCAATTTATTACTCCCATTTTACAATGAGGAAACAGACAAAATGTGATTATTAGATATATATGGGGAAGGCAAAATTCCAACAAAATTTCTGATGGAATCTCTATTCTCTCAGTCTCTTGCTTTACTCTGAACAACAAACTTCTTTATGATTACTGATTAAATGTATTCCTTCTTCTCTAGAAGGAAACCCTGTTTTATTAAAACCCATTTTGTACACAGAAAGACAAGGATTAGTTAAATGTATAACTGACAAGCCAATGGGTGGAGTTTAAATGCATTCTTTTTTTTGTTTGTTTGTTTTGTTTTGTTTTGTTTTTTGCGGTACGCGGGCCTCTCACTGTTGTGGCCTCTCCCGCCGTGGAGCACAGGCTCCGGACGCTCAGGCCCAGCGGCCATGGCCCTGGGCCCAGCTGCTCCGCGGCATATGGGATCCCCCTGGACCGGGGCACGAACCCACGTCCCCTGCATCGGCAGGCGGACTCTCAACCACTGCGCCACCAGGGAAGCCCTAAATGCATTCTTTAATCAGTAACATTCAGGGAGAAATTAGTTGTGTGCCCGTCACTTGTTCTCAGTTAACTTACTAATTTCTGAAAAGCTTCCTGAAAGAAAGAGTACACATTTTCAGGTCAATGAAATTAATTTCATAGTAATTAAATGAGCCAAGTTTAGACTTTTTCTTAATGTTTTATAATGTATACTTACCTTATGGTTAAAATATTTTTCAAACTTTAATCTTGCTAATTCTACACAGTGGGACCAATTTCTAGGTCTTCTGCTAAGTAACTTAATAACTTGAAAACAGCCTTCTAAACTGTGTCCAGTTTGTATCTTCTAGAATGAAAGGAAAAAAGAAAACAAAGCAAATACATGTCCAATTAATCACACAAACACACATGCACATATTCCCAGGAAATGTCAGCCAAAGTTTGAAGTGCCAGCTCATGTGTCTTATGATTTTATTATTTTCACCTCACGCTCCCTGTCCCCGTCTTTCTACTTTCCCTCTTTCTTTTCTTTTCTGGAGGGGAAATGGGAAAAGATAGTATGTAAAATGTTAACTCTAAAGTTTCTTATCTCCCAAGTTATCCTCATGTCTTGCTAGTGGTAAGTTAGTACTATGTATGTACTTACTATACGAAGTGCTATGAATAATATTTTATACTAAAAAGCTGGCATTTTTAGTGTAGGATTAAAGGAAAGTGAAAAAACAGCTTTGAAGTTGCCTTCACCATGAGACTAATAAATCTGAGACCATTCCTACTCCTGAAATTTTCACTAAAACTTACTTCAGTTTTTTCCAAAGAGCTTAACAATCTGTTTTATTATTTGTAGCTCTCTTATCATTTATCAAATCCTTATCAGGTTGAACCATATGAATTGCTGTTCTGTGAGTCAAACATGGTAAAATATTTGCAACTCCATATAGTTTGACCAAATTAAAAATGAAGGGTTATTTGTGACCTGCTAACTTCGAGATTCCTCATATACTTACTATATACAATATTAATGTATAAACTCTGTTTAAGGAGGTAAACTATTTATAGGCAACCTGAAAATAAGATTACACTGACATAAAGTGTTGGGGTTAGCAGATGCAAACTACTATATACAGAATGGATAAACGACAAGGTTCTACTGTATAAGATAAGGAACTAAATTCAAAATCCTGTGATAAACCATAATGGAAAAGAATATGAAAAAGAATGTACATACATATAACTGAATCATTTTGCTGTACAGCAGAAATTACCACAACATTGGAAATCAACTACACTTCAATTAAAAAAGAAAGTATATTGTTTTTTACCTTTAAGACTTCTTCTGCAGATGGATAGGTTTGCCAAAATTTGTTAAACAACGAAGGCTTGTAGGAAAAGGAACTTTCAAACTATAAGGGAAAAGAGGAAAACACATTACAAATAAAAGTATGTTTAAAAGTTGGAAATATCTGATGAACTGGGCAATTGGGATTGACATGTATACACTGATGTGTATAAAATTGATGACTAATAAGAACCTGCTGTATAAAAAAATAAAATTAAAAAATTAAAAAAAAGTTGAATATATCATCTTTTCTACTTCAAAGAAAAATTTCTTAAAAAATATCTTTATTACCTTATCTCTTGCCCATTGTATAGTGTGTTCAATAGCAGCTGGAAAGGACTTTAGGGTACAAAATGGTATTTCTTCTTCTGGGGGATCCCGCTATTTTATAAAATATGACAACAGTTAAGAGAAGCAATGACCATTTTTTATGGAATGAATTTACTTGAGTGTTTTAAGACCATTAAAAAACAAAATTCAAAAATAAAACAAATCCAACATTTTTTATCTTCTTTCTCCTACACATTAAGAAGAAAAGATTATTCTTTTGACACTTAACCCACGTGTTTATAGCCATGTAACAACAAACACAAATTCTATGGTCACTTATTATCTGTGCACTCCTTTGGTACCATGTAGTACTCATATAGCAGATTACCATATATAATTACCTTTTTTTGTTTTCTCCAAGTATCAAAGGTGACATTTAACACTTTAAATATTCTGCATTTTGAAAAATAATTCAAGAATTCCCAATATAGTGCCCACATACCGTTTCTTTCTCCAGGTAGAAAAAATATTTGTAAGCAGGAATCATATGTTCTTGATGCTTGGTATAGTTTCTTGCAGAAATTGTGTATTAAATAAATGACAAATGTCTATGTTGTGTCATATGAAAAAGTACCATTGAAGAAATTCATATTCTCTTAAAGGGTACATTTGGTACATTTAGTCTTATTGGCTTACCCAATCTAAAACAACTCACTTTGTCTCTTTTTACTTAGAGATTTTATTTTAGTGTGTTGATCTATAAAATACCACGGAATATTTTATAAACCAAAAAGGAAAGCCAGATGGAGTATTCAATTCTAGTTTTTCTGAGTATGAAGTTAGAGAATATACGTATAGGAGAAGGGGAAGATGTGGTAGAATGAGAGAATCAAGGGAACTTTCGGAATTTTGTAACATCCCCTACTTTGAAAATCTTCTAGTATGATCCCAGCATATCATGATTTTCTCCACCTAATTTCCTTCAAATCAAACTTATCAATTTTGTCTATTATAGTGTTTTCACTATATAAACTTCTGATTGCATGAGAGTAAAGGGGAAAACAAATTTTATTAAAATTTAAAAAATTTTCTAAACCAAACATATCCATTAAATAAAGGGATATTTATGTTTGTAAAATAATATTCTTCTTTCAATTTTACAACTTGGGTTGACCTTTTTAAAAAATTTTTTAAAATTAATTAATTAATTTATTTTTTGCGGTACGTGGGCCTCTCACTGTTGTGGTCTCTCCCATTGTGGAGCACAGGCTCCGGACGCGCAGGCTCAGCAGCCATGGCTCACGGGCCCAGCCGCTCTGCGGCATGTGGGATCTTCCCGGACCGGGGCAAGAACCCGTGTCCCCTGCATCGGCAGGCGGACTCTCAACCACTGCACCACCAGGGAAGCCCGACCTTTTTTTTTTTTTTAAATCCTCAAGCCTACATTTCTTAGACCAGTGATTTTCAAAGTTGGTAGTATCGCAAAATCACTCGTGGAGGTTAAAAAAAAAAGTTACACCTATATCATTTGTATAAAATATATTGTTATAAATGGCTTGGTCCCTCATATGGAGAAACCGAGTCTTCAGTAAGATTTTGGGTGGGTCACCAGTTCAAAGGTTGCTAAAAACTAATCAAGCAGCTCTGAGAAACAAACAGTAAACACAAGAATAATATTCCAGAAAGACCGGAAACAAAATTTTGATGATTAAAAAAATAAGTTCAGCTACATTTAAAAAAATGTCTATACACATATGCACAGACATCATTGGCGGATCAAAAACAGAAGGGATTAGGAATGCTAAACCAAATTTACTGACTAATGAAGAGAAACAAACCGTGAGATATAAAAATGATGAGATATAAAGAAGAGATATTTACTTTAAAAAAGTGGTTCACTTACATGACTATTATAGGATTCAGTTAAATGAGGTACAATAACTTCAGTGTGTCCCTTAGTGCCCATTGTTCCAGAATCTAAGAGGGGCCGTAGATTTGCTAAGCAACGGCTATGTGAAAAGAAAATAGGTAACAAACATAAAAGTGAGCAGTAACAATGTAAGCAGAGGACAACTTACCAATTTCTACTGACCATTTCACATGTTGATCACTTCTTGGATATAACACTTTAGGAAACAGCTACATGACCACCAAACAACCCATTTATTATTACCATCCCCTTCCTCCCACAAACTTTGTTGCTCACTCTAGCAATTTTTGTCTCTACCTTCCATTCCCAAGTTTGGTAGTTTTAGAACAAGACACATTACGTTTATCTTGTTCTAAAACTCCTACACAGAATGGATAAACAAGGTCCTAATGTGTAGCACAGGGAACTATATTCAATATCCCATGATAAACCATAATGGAAAAGAATATAAAAAAAGAATGTCTCTATGTGTATAACTGAGTCACTGCTGTACAGCAGAGATTGCCACAACATTGTAAATCAACTATACTTCAATAAGAAAACAGAAAAAACAAACTCCTATCAAATTTTGGGCTTCAACTTTTTTTCCTCTGGGTTAACTCTTAATTAATATGTTACCCTTTCTTTTCTTGTTTTCTATTTCTTCTTTGGTTTATTTTCCGACTATAAGTTCTACCTCACTATATCTTTTCAACATTTTCTTCATCCCAAACCTTCTTTCTCAATACTTATGATACCTATATTCAACATATTTTATTTAATTTCTTAAAGTTTCTTTTTTGCCTTTCTCTGCACAAGTTTACAAACTTTCCACTGTACTCTCAACTGGTAAATTTTCCTGCTAATAAATCTGCTCTAGCACCCTAACATTAGAGAGTCATACAAAGATATAAGAAAGATTATGTAAGGTGTATACATCATAGTCATTTATTCATCTACTTATTTAACAAATATTTATTGAATGACACCATGTATTGGGCACTGAGGACAGAGTGATGGGAAAATAAATAATAACTGAATAAATGATTTAGTGAGGAAACAAATATTAAATAAATGTGCATGTCAATAAAAAATAAGTGCTATGAAGGAAAAATGAGTGCTGTGAAAGGTTATCTTAGGAGGATCTAATTTAGAATTCAGGGGTTAAAGAAAGTCTGTTTGGATAAAGACATTTAGGCTGAAACTGAAAGGATGAGAGAAAAAACTAAAGGAAGTGAAGAGTAAGTAGGCAGATTTGGGGTCAGGAGCTTTAGAACAAGATAAACATAATTTCCTGAGGTTGAAGGAGATCATGTACAAATCCCTGAGGTGAAAAGTGTTAGATGCCCCCAATGTAAGAACTGAAAGAAAGAATGTGTGGCTAGAATAAGGGGAACCAGGGAGAAACAGTAAGTTTTAAGCTGGAGTGGTGGACAGGTGGCAGATACTCTATGAAAAACATTTAGGCCATTTTAAAGATTTTTAATTTTATCCTGTCTCTAATGGGAAATCATCAAAAGGCTTGGGTTCAAGGAGAACTATAATAGGAACATAAAGAATAATCAGAAACTTCGGTAACTTTTCAATAAATAGGTGTGAGAAATGAAGTGAAAACAAAAGAAAGACAATTTCTATGAACCTGAATTTCAAGAACATACCTGTCTACGTATCTCCTGGCTTCCACATTATCTAATGCTGTAATAATTATATCCTGCTTAGTATAGAACTCATCATTGTAAATCACCTCGGTGGCTGGACATACTTTGTTCAAGTGTGCATCTATCTTTAATTGAGGATTTATTTTCAGGGTTGCATCAGCAGCAGTATAGCTTTTAGGTTTCTAAACAAATAACATATAAAAACAGAAGAAATAAATGGTAAACAGGAAAAATAGGCCATGACTGAACTTAAAACATTTTTTATATGAAGAATAATGTAATGAGACCAGTTTTCATTTTTAATTTGTGGATATTACATTCACTGTGGTCATGCTGCATTTAGTAATGCACATTAGAATTAATAATTCATACATTTTGTTTTTTTTGCGGTACGCGGGCCTCTCACCGCCGTGGCCCCTCCCGCCGCGGAGCACAGGCTCCGGACGCGCAGGCCCAGCAGCCATGGCCCATGGGCCCAGCCGCTCCGTGGCACGTGGGATCCTCCCAGACCAAGGCACGAACCCGTGTCCCCTGCATCGCAGGCGGATTCTCAACCACTGCACCACCAGGGAAGCCCCATAATTCATACATTATTAATAAAAATGTAAACAACTTCTATTTTACAGCTAAGTGCTCTGTAATTCTTAAAATATTAGTTAAAAGTCTAATTAAAAGTACATTTTTCCCTAGTAATGAGGTTTGAATCAAGTAAGTGCCTAGAAAAAAAAAATGAGAACACATTCAGTACAATATTAGAAATCCAAGTTCTATAGAATATGAACTCTCAGAGGTATGGTAACCTAATATCAATATTTTGGTACTAAAATGTTTAAAAAATTTTACCATTTCTGGATGGAAATAAAAAATTATTACATATGTTTCAGTTTTATAAAAAGAGTACCCTTTCTTTTCTTTTAGAGTTAGTGATCATTTTTAAATCACTGGTGTCCTTTCAGGTGCTATCATAGTTTATTTGGGAGTACTGGCTCTAACCCTAAGTATCTATAGATCATTCAGCTTGAACGAATGCATCTAGTTTTAATGGTATCTGTCTGTTCTCATATTGTTAGACGGACATGTTTTTACTTCTCAGCGCTATTAGCATTCATACATACAAATTGTAAACTTTGTTAGAAGTGTAAAACAAACAGGCTTTAATAGTTCTTTTATAAGTAAAATGCACAAAGGTCTGTGAATGAATCTTATCACATAAATTTTAGTTCATGAGAGACCCTGTTACTTAGTTCTTTGTATTTGGATAGGTGAGGTCATTCGGTTAACTATGCCACTATATAACTATATACAAGTATGCTTTAATTACTTTCCTGTTCATGACATTTCTTAGTTTACCAAGATTCTCAATGAGTTGTAGAACAACAAAGTGAAAAAAATTTCTAAAGAGCAAATTTGCTTGACTGACTAAATTGTTTCTTTTACTGACTTAAATATTTTGACCTCCATAAAAAAGACTGAAAATAAGCATTATTTTATAATAAAAAGGGATGTTAAATAATCAAACAAGAGCAAAAGAGCAAAAAATTCTCAAACTTTACCTGTTTTGTAATAAAGGTTAATAAAAAAGACAGTGCCAAATTTGTCATCTATAAAAACTTCAAATTAGGGAAGCTGTTTTTATATCCTAAGATGTTTCTAAAATTACATAGATACATCTTGATTATAAAATGAAAAAAATACTGCCCATCATTCACAACTCAGATTTTAACACCCAAAATCAATGCAAAAACTAATTTTTATATTAAAAAATAATTATATATTTACTCTATTGTCATTCCCATTATTTGATAATTTGAGAGATTCTAATAAAATAAAGAAGATACTATGCTTGTTCAAGCTCCATTTTCTATTTATAAAAAGGAAACTCTCTTCTTTTTTGTATAACATAATAGATGATTCAAATTTGAAACAGTATAACAACACACCTGTATGTGATGAGGACGAAATAGAAACTGTCTATTCAAGTTGGATTTTTCTATCAAGTCAGGATCTGTTACTGTAACCTAATACCAAGGAAAAAAATGGCTGAAATTACATAAGAGATAAATTTAAATCTACTTTGTTTTTCTCTGAATGACTAAAACAACTCCCACAAGTTATTCTAAATTATTTTGGCTGGTGAAAGTTATAATACAAATACTCCAAAACTGGTTACCAATACTACTGTTTTTATACTTATATTTAATGATAATGTTTAGCATACGAACATGTCAAACAAAACAGCTGAAACCAACTGCAACTCCTACTCAAAACTTTTTTTTAACTCTTCATAACAAAATAAAGGTTTAACATCACTATCACATTTTAGAACCGTAATGGATTAGCCATAGAGGAGTTAGCTCTTCTTTCTATACATATTTATTCTCAGTCTCAATTGATTGGGAAAGAAAGCCTGCATGTTTCAAATTGAAAGCTCTTGCTAAAGCAGAGGTCTACGAACTACAGTGCAGGCAGGCTGCCTGTTTTTGTAAATAAATTTTACTGAACACTGTCACGCCACTTTATGGCTGTTTTCATACTGCGATGGCAGAGCTCAGCAGCTGTGACAGAGCCTTAAGATCCACAAGCCTAGAACAGTTACAATCTGGTTAAGAAAAAGTTTGCAGACCCCCATTATAAAGGATGAAAGATTAAAGTAAACAGATCCAAGATAATCTAAAAAGTACTCATAATGCATTTGCCACTTAAGCTAGTATTTGTAAAAGGTTTCACTAGAAGCAGTATTCTCAGAGTGTGTTCCAGCTGTTACATGTTGATTTGTATTCCCAAACACATTCACTTTCTTTTAGCTGGCATTTCAGATATATATATATTTGGGATTAGTTTACCTTTTCAGTCTGAACACACTTGTCTCTTCAACTCTGGAAACTTGTCATTATCCTTGGAATATATTACTTCTTCTCCCTTATCTTTACTCTCTCTGGAAATTCTACTACACTTATGTTGGACCATGCAAATGTATCCTCTTTCATTTAAAAAAAAAAGAATCTTTCTATACTATATTTTGGGTATTTATCTTCTTTTCATCCATTCTCACTTCAGCTATATTGGAATTTTAAGTTCACTGATTATACAAAAATTCTTCCTTGGCTTTTTGTGAAAATTCCAGTGCCTTTTTCCCTCATGTTTCCATTCCTCTTTCTATGTCTTTGGTCATTTTTAACTTTACAGTTTGTTCTATTATCTGTAGCACTCCTATTATCTATAGTTCTTAGAGAGTTAATTCTTCTATTTTCATTGGCTGATTCTTCCAGGTGGTACCTTTTTCTAGTAGACTGTCATTTTTCATTGTGAATTGTCTTGAATGGATGTTGATTTCTCTGCATAGTCCTATGTACTCTCAGTGTGTAAGTACCACCATGATGTGGTTTTGCATTTGTTTTAATCAGAGGTTTCAATGGCCCTAAACTTGTTATATTCATTTCTCTTCTTGAAGTTTTTATATGATATAATTTTGGACCCCATACACCAGTGTGGTGCAGCTCTGAGTTATGATTTCTTACAAATGACTTTCTTTCTAGTTAATGTATTGGACATATAATTAAGACAGAAACACTTATGAGTCACCACAGCTTTTAGCTCAGGAATTAATTTCCCTCTTGGTTCCTGGAACCTGGGGATTTCTCTTTCCTTCCTTCTAGTTAGTTTGGCTACTTATGTAAACACTTTAAAAAAGAAGAATTTATACAGCAAGACTATGCATTTGCAGTAGGCTAGAAATCTGTCCACATTAACTTACCTTGTTTTGTTACCTGAAGTAAGTAGGTTTATTTACTATAGTTCTTTTCCTGACTTTTATATGCTGATATGTATTATGAAGTTCCAAGGAGTAAAGTAGGTGATATCCAAACTTGTGTAACCAAGGATTTTTTTTTAAGAAATACTTTAAAAACTACCAGAACTAATAGTCATTTGTGGAACACAATTTAGGAAATGCTGAGCAGGAATAATATAACTGTAGGACATCTGCCTGTAACTGTGAGAGTAAGTTTAATAAACTATAAAATGTGAACTATTAAATAAATTTTAGTCATTTAATTACTCACTATTAGTCACCATGATAAATCTATGATATCACCACTGTAGTGTACATCTTAAAGGCAAACAGCATCAATGAAATACATTTTTATTTAAATATATGACATGGCTTTCCAGTTAACTGATATTTATCATCTTAAGAGTTTATACTGTATACCAAAGTTTACACTACTCACTCTTTTGATACTCACCAATTGAAACAATATTTGAGTACTCTGCAACTTTCTAATGTTAGCTTCTCCCATCTTAAATATTTATTTAATAATAAGTAGTATCTAATAGAAATAACAGTATTAATGTGCTTTATTGTTTCAAAAGCCCTTTCACATTTGATCTTCATAATTACATTATGAGGCAGGTAGTACAGATAACAGTTTCACAATACTAAAGAAAGAAACTGAGGAGCAGAGAACTCAAGTTATTTGTCACAAGGTTGCATAAATTTTGAAAAATGGTCAGGGTAGAATCAGAATCTTCCAATTTCTAGCCTAGTGGCCCTATCCTCAAAAACCAATACTTCAGATGCATGCAGTCAAATATGATTCAAAACTGGGCAGCAAAAGAAATATAAACTTTTAACTCTCAAGGATTTATATCTTACCATTCCCTTCTCTTTGCCTGTGCCAACACCTAGCAAAGCAAAATTTTTTAACATTTCACAGCCTATGGCTCCACATCCTACCTATGGAGAAGAAAAATAAAAGGTATCAGATTAAATAAAATTAAAACATCTACTTACTAAAGAGCAATTTCATCTTAAGTTTCTTCAAATGCTGTTACAATACATACTTTTAAAAATAATTTGAACTTTTAAAGTAACTTAAAAATCATTTTACTTTAAAAGATTTAATGGTTCATGATATCATTATAAGTGTCTCGATTAAAAAAATGTATAAATCATAGAAGGAAAAGCATAATATTTATAATTCCTTTAAAAAGAAGACATTTTAATATTCCACACAAAAGCCAAAGTTTGAACTCAGTTTTTATATAAGATGGAAACAAACAGCATGAAACAGTGCAACATTACAATTAAAAAGATTACTTGTTTATAGACAATTTTCTAAACTCATTTGATGAATACAACTATTCTAAGACTTTTAAGTAAAAACTAATAATAGATTCTACATGCAGGTAAAAGCTCAGGAATACTGCTGATTTCCAAAATATTATTTAAAAAATGAATAATAAAAATCAGTAGTACTTTTAGGACTGATTATAATAATTAAAAAAAATAAGTGGCAGGAGAAGTCGTCTTATGCTATTGGGGAGAGCTTCCCTGTCAATGCACTAAGACATTTAAGAAAGACAGATCCACCTACATATTCCTACATTTGGTAAGAAAAAACAAAAAAAAACCCCAAACCCACAATTTTTAATGTATTTCTAGAAAATCATTTAATGTTCAAAACTATTATACTCGTATTTTAACTTTACACGTACTAATTCTCTAGACGATGGGTTGGCAAACGTCTTCTATAAAGGGCCAGACAGTGAATGTTTTCAGCTTTGTAAGCGATATGGTCTTTTTCACAACTACTCAGCTCCACTATTATAGTATGAAAGAAGCCATAGACAATATTTGAATAAATGGGCTTGGCTGTGTTCTCGTGAAACTTTATTTATAAAAACAGGCAGCAGGATGGATTTGGCCTGCAGGTACAGTTTACAAATTCCTGTTTTAAACATTTCCTGAATGTCTACTATGTTAGAAACTTTACTCAAATTTCCTTTAATAAATTAACTTGATATACAAGAGCAGTTTGACTGTACTATTTATTCTCATTATTATTCCTACTTACTAAAAAGATATTCAAATTTTGTAGCTTCTGACACAAAGTGTCTCCAATGCAGGCTCGTAAGGCATCATATCTATCTCCTCTGTAAAAAACAATATAAACCAAGAAAATAGAATGGTATAAAAAAACATTATTAAGATTAGTTTAATTGCTGCTAGTACCAATTTAATGAGTTTCTTCCAAACTAATAGATAAATTATCTTATTTGAAAGAGAAGAAACTTCATAAAGAAATCAGTTGTTTCTTTTTTCCATTTGACTTAATATTCGAAGTCCAAATGACTTAAGTGAAGGTCACTTTAGTTTATCTGGAAAAAAATTTTTAAGGCAGGGATTTTTAATAAAGGTTTGTAGAGAAGACTATGGCTGGGCTTTGAAGTTGTTAACCCACTTAAATTGAAGGCAGAACTTTGGGTTATGTGTATTTCTGGGAGAATGAATTCATAAGCTTTTATCAGATTCCCAAAGAGATATGTGACCCAAAAGGTAAAGAATGACTGATATAAATAAAAGCTGCAGGTAGCAATTGTTTTCATCTAAAATCAGAATGATGTTTCGAAACCTAACCATTCTCATGATATAAATTTAACACTTTATATTCATTATTTATAAGGTGGTAAAGAGATACTGCATTATTATGACACAATCTCTAAGTAGAGAAGAAATGACTGCAGAAGTGAGCTCAGGAGAAAAGACATCTAAAACAAATGCATGTTTGCACAAAAACTCTTTTAATCTAGTTGCTCCTTATAAACATACAACTAAGAAAAAAGCAACAAAAAGGTCAGTATTACCGTGGGAGAAATTCTTCACGTTCAGGTTTGCCTAGGGATTCGACAATATCTGCTGCTTCAATATATAACTTAAAGTAGAAGATAAAAACATAACTTACTATGTAGAAAGCTAAATTGCTAGAAAAAGTAATTATCTTCTGTAGTTATTTAATGATCATTAAAGAAAACAATGATAAACATGCTGCTTCAGAGTAAAATAATGGATTAAAAAATATAATTGTTTCTTATGCAATAAACATTCCTTACATTCTTTCATTGAAACAATGGTTAAATCTGGAGGAACTGTAAAAAGATATAATTTGATTCATGTCATTTAGCCATCTTACAGATGATATATTCTATTATTAACAAACAAAAGGAAATTTCACCTCCAAATCTATTTTTTATAACTACATAAAAACTTCTGGAAGCTCATTCAATTTCAGCTACATTTGAATAATTTGTTTACTTTTGATAGGAAAGTACCTAGTCCATATTTAATTTCCAACTTGGAAACTATGTCATCTGTAATTATTACATATACTACAGAGGAAATGGTCTAGGAAGCCACAATTTCAGCATTTAAAATAATATCAAACAGAATTAGTTCAGGTTAATGAAAAAAACCCCTGAGTCTCATTCTCATTTTCATTTTAAGTAACTTATATGGCTAAAAAACGTGAACATGACCATGAACATGAATAAATGGCTATTTAATTATAACATAGAATCTATATTAATAACATAATTTATATTCCCCATGCTGCTAATAGTTATATCTAAACCAGACTTTTACAATTGAACTTGTACACTGTGTTAAAATAAACCAAATAATCCAGCAGCAAAATAACATTAATTAATAGCAGCAATAATAAATTTACAAATTTTAATTATTAAAGCTAAATTTAAACTTTTTAAAACATAATAAACAAGATCAATGTTATATTCAAATGTTTAAAATTTAAAAAAAAAAAAGGGCCTGAAGAGTATCCTTTGATACACTTTGCCAATTATTCCTTCTGGTAATAGAAACCAGGGTTTTTCCATCTTGTGATGTTTTTACCCTATATAGTTCTCAAACTTTTACCATTCCTATGCTTTCTACCTTTAGAAGTTTATACCTAGAAACTAGGGAATCTGAAGATTCATGATGCCAAAAGACTCCATGAAACAGTTCAGGAGTCCTGAAAGCATGTGACTGCTAAACTAACAGTAGTGGAAACTAAATATAAGGATAAGAAAATTCCTTATATATAAGGAATATAAGAGTGAAAATTCCTTCACTCTCACAAATGAGGGAAATACATCCTAGAATGCAACTCTGGGTTACATGCCAATAGCCTCAACAAATGATCTTGTCAGATTCCATTATAGAATTAAGTTTTGGTGGCACATCACATCTGACTCATGCATCAAAAAATACTTTAAGGTTGCTTTTATAATATATTAATTAATACTATGTTATAATTCATAACAGACATTCATTATATGGGTGAATAATTCAACCTTAAGTACAAAAAAAATATTAAAATAGAGAACTAACCCACTGGCATAAAGGAGAAAACTTTCCTGTCACAGCTTTCAATACTTCTTGGCTGGCAACACCTCCTACTGCTGCAGCAAGTGGGGGTAAAAAGCCTTGGGCAGTCCAAGAGAGCCAACGCACAATGTCATAATTTACTTCAGGCTGAAACACAAGCCATGAAAGACAATAATATTAACAGTATTCACATGGTATACTCAAAATTTCAATAAATAATTATACCTTAACTTCTAAAAGAGCTACTCAATTTCCCTAATAGTTTTTAAGTCCTAAAAAAAAGTCCCAATCTCATAATAAAAGATCCAATTCCATGTCAGTTACCTTAAGCAGTATATTTCATTACCAGTACCTGCCCAATTTTGCTTTTTGACTCTTTATGTGACACTAGGGAACAATTTAGAATTAACTGGATTATCTACCGTGATGTTGGACAAACAACCAGAATTTTAAAAAACATGTTTTAATGAAAACTATGGAAAAACCTTGCAACTATATAAATGAAAAAAAAAAAAATGACCCATAAAAAATGATGAGCTATCATTTGTGCTTGAAGTGGCAAATAAAAAGTAAAACTGTAAAAAATGAGACAATACATTGTTAGAAAAGGCAGTTTAGGAAAAAAATTGAGAGTAATGGCACTTTTGCATACAAATCTAAGAGCCAATCACCACAAAGTTCTCATTATCATACTTAAACTGAAATGATGTTTCTCAAAATAAAATTTATTAGTATTTTTAAGAAAAAAATGGAGAACTGGATTTTGGAGCTATTATTTTAGCACAATTTCTTATTTGTCACAAAGATCTCTTCATGAGCTCTGGCTTCTCTTTCTCTTCCTGTTCTTTCAACATCAGTAACTAGAATCTTAACCTAGGATTCAAGTAGGGCTCAATTAATCTCTTGAAATTCTATGTAAAATGTACATTTAGGGGAAGAAGGAAGGCTTTTATTACATTATCAAAGATATCTATGACACAAAAAGAGATTACTATTTACTCACATTCCACCCACTCCATTTCAATTTTCTATATCTCACTATTTTACAACTATTTAGCACTAAACTCAACTCAGATTACAATTTCATTTAAGATGTGGCATTTCTGAATGCAGAGATATTGGTGGTACTGATAATATTAAAAACAATGACAAGAATGCTAATAGAAGCAGGTAATTTGGTTGAGCATCTATTTTGAGTTGTATATTATTAGTCCACATGTAACCTTCAAAATAATCCTAGGAAATATAATTTCTATCATACAAATTAGAAAACTGAAACTTTGAAAGATTAAGTAATTTACTCAAGATTTTACTGCTAGTAAGTGGTCAAACCAGGATCTGAACCCAAAAAGTCCAACTCTCCAGCTCTATTCTTACCATTAGGTTACACTATCTTTCAAGATTTTATATTTTTTAATAAACAAACATCCAAATCTGGGGAGTTTTTCATCACCCTAGGATAACGACTAAGGCCTATATCTGAATTTCTGCACACGGTCTCCAAAAGATGATACATATCCACAAGAAGAGAAATAAACCAGTGGCAGGGCTTCAGTATTACTAAGAAACAGAAAATATGAACTTCAAATTGCCTGTAAATAGAAAAACAAACACCAAACCCCAAATGAACTATTTCTGGACTTCATATTGCTGCAAGCCTGAACAGAGAGCAGGAAGCGTGTAACCACAGAAGAGAGAATGAAAAGCCTAATGTGACAAAGCACAGTCAAAATCATCCTGAGAAAACAGAAGGCCCATACTAAGTGCAAAAAATACCGAACATGTATGAAGTCTGGCAGATCTCAGCAGTGGCTATGGTGAAAGAACTTCCCTGGGGAGAATGATGTAAATAGAAAGGGGGAGATATCCCTTGACAGAGAAGGCTAAAAAAGGAAGTAAGAGAGGAAGTTAAGTAGGATTTGGCAGAAAGCAAAGAGATCCACAAGATATATCAACACGTATCCACCAAAAAAATTTTTTTAGTTAAAAAAAAAAATCACCTATTAAAGAAACTCCTTTTCAGGAAGAGAAGAGGAAGAGGGGCTCTAGAAATAGAAATCTGAAAAAGCACCAAAAAACCTTACCCTGTCCAAAAGCATATACAGAAAAATCAGTTTACCAAACAAAGAAGATGTAAAAAGGAGACAGAAAATTAGAATCAAAACATTTCAGTACTGAAAATTTCTCCCCCAAACTAATTATAAGGCAGAGTAAATTTGACTGAGTGAATTATATATCAACAAACACTTGGAGATGTGGAAAACCCCACCTTGAATCAGAAATTTAATAACTAAGAACCCAAATGATCCATTCCACCTTCCCCAAAGGGGAAAAATAAATAAATAAAAGAAAGTATGAATCAAAATGGGCTCATGGTATACCTGGAAAAATTGACTGAATGATCAATCTTGAGTTATAACTTGGTAAAACTATTAGATTTCACAGATGAAAAAATACACAGAAGAAAAAAATATACAGGGCCCCAAGGCAAAAAGACCAGATTATTTATAAAAAGTAAGAAAAGTAAGCTGACATCGTATTTCTCAACTACAAGATACAAAGCAAGATATCAAGGAAGAAAGTTAACAGCCTTGAATTTTACTTTCAGCCAGGCTCCTTTCAAGAATAAAGGTTACAGAAAAATTTGAAATGTGTTAAGAACTCAGGGAATACGGTTAATTCTAAGCTCCTTCTGAGAAATGCACCAGCGACTAAACCTGATTTCAAGTCTTATATAAAGCTACAGTAATCAAAATAGGATGGTACTAGCAAAAGGCTAGAAACAACCAATGGAAGATAATATTGGGTTCAGAAAGAGCCCTACACATATGTGGTCAATAAATTTCTGACAAAGATGCCAAAAAAACTGAATAAAGAAAAAACTGTCTTTTCAATAAATGGGCTAGAATTACTGGATATTCATACACAAAAAAATTAACCTTGATCTATGCCTGGCAAGATAGAAAAAAACAAATTAATAAAAGTACAGGGCTTCCCTGGTGGCGCAGTGGTTGAGAGTCCGCCTGCTGATGCAGAGGACACGGGTTCATGCCCCGGTGCGGGAGGATGCCACATGCCGCGGGACGGCTGGGCCCATGAGTCATGGCCGCTGAGCCTGCGCGTCCGGAGCCTGTGCTCCGCAACGGGAGAGGCCACAGTGGTGAGAGGCCCGCGTACAGCAAAAAAAAAAAAAAAAAAAAAGTACAAAACTGTACACAGTGAGTTCAAAATGTATAGTCATGTACACGAACTATACTTTGTATGGTATAGAAAAATAAACTCACAAAACAATAAACCTTCTAGAAGAAAATACAGGGGAAAAGCTTTATGATTTTAGAGTTAAAAAAGGGCACAAACCATAAAAAAGAAAAACTGATAAACTGAACTTCAGCAAAATTAAAAACCTGTGCTCCTCAAAAGACACTGTATTGATAGTAAAATGAAAAGACAACCCACAGTCTGGAAGAAAATATCTGTAAAATGTGTGTCTGATAAAGGACTAATTTCCAGATTATATAAAGAATGCTCTCAATTAATAAGAAGAAAACAACCTAATTAAAAACCAGGCAAAGATTTGCAAAACTGAAGTAGAATAATGTCAAGTAACTTGCTTACTGTCACAGAGTCAATAAGTAGCAAAACTGGAATTTGCAGGATAAGAGAACAGTAATATATAGAAGATTTATATGTTACATAATTTTTGATGGCCATAACTTTGAATATTCACCTGCTCTTCCAAGGTTTCACTTATAGATGTTGCTAGTTTCAACAGCTCTTCTGAATCTTGTTGGCATCTAGGATTCAAAATAAAACACCGCAATTTCAATGTTCTCAATTGCTATAAACAGGTCATATTCAAAACTGAAATTTAAGAAATATGTTGAAAACCTGTGGATTACAAAGTGCTTACTGACTTTAAGGTAACTGGTTTATAAATACATTACTTCAAAATTACATCAAAATCATGCTCACCTAAGAGCAGTATATAATGTTTAGTTTTAAATACACATGGCAAAAACTTTTTGCAACAATACCAGGAGGTAAAAAATTCTATAGTGGATTCATAATTTAATAATTCTCAGATTTTTTATTTTAAAAAGGTATAGCTTTTGAAGACTTCAAAATAGGAAAATTCTTATTTAGTATAACTCCATTTTTATAAATTGATCTCTCCACTCCTACCAGAAAAAAGACCAGGTCAGAAGTGTTTATACAGTTTGGTGTATCTAGTGGTATTACAATAAAAAAAAAAGTTATTTCAAACAAAGAACATTACCCAGTATTTGGCTTGCGACTATAGTTCTCCTGAAACTGGTCCAAGGCAAGCATGGCTGAGTGAATCTCTAAAGGTGCCTATTTAGAACATTAAAAATTGGTCAATATTTATTGAGTGTGTAATATGTGTCAGGCACTGTGCTAATGCTTTTAAGACATTATTTAATTTAATCATTATAATAAATGTATTAGCTTATTACTATTATCTTTATATAACAGATAAGGAAGCTGAGACTTGACTTCAAGGTCATAAAGATATATTTAAACAAAGATCTAAGGTTTTTTTCCCTCTCCCGTTGCGGAGCACAGGCTCCGGACACGCAGGCTCAGCGGCCATGGCTCATGGGCCCAGCCGCTCCGCGGCATGTGGGATCTTCCTGGACCGGGGCACAAACCCGCATCCCCTGCATCGGCAGGTGGACTCTCAACCACTGTGCCACCAAGGAAGTCCAAGATCTAAGTTTTAATCCCAGGCTCTATGACTAGTTTTTATTAGGTTATCCATATGAAACAAAGTATTACCAACTGAACAAAGGAAACAAAATGTCTGTACAAGAGCACCGAATTCTTTTTCTTTATTAACATTTACAAATTTGGAAACTGTTAATATCGAATATAATTCTTTACTTATCACAAATACATTCACTGCTACAAAACTGATCCAGTGATTTAAAAAAAACAGAATAAATGCTTCCAAAGTTTTTATGGAAGAACTATGTATTATATAAAACTCTACATGGTTCAGAAAATCTTTTAATATGATCACCTTTGCATAAATTAATGAAACCACCTTTACACTATCAAACCTGGTATATCATTATAAAAGTAAACCTTTTTCCTATTATTTTAACATTTCCATTATATAAATTCCTATTTTTAATCCTTCGGCATCAGCTCTAGATACATGAATACAACTTTTATTTTTTAAAAATCCGACAGTCTGACAGAAATCTTCATAATCCCTTACCAATCCCCACCCGCCTTTCTCAAACCTGCAAAGCATTTATTTACCTCAGGTTTGCTAAAATCCGCAATAAGGCACTTTGGATGTTTTATCTGCTTCTCTAATGGTTCCTAACAGAAAAAAACAAAACAAACAACAGAAAAAAATCCACTATTACTTCGGAGCAAGCACATGACTACTTGACAAACTACACAGAGCACTAAAAGCAATGGCTCCCTCCCAAAGGTCTGAAATAAATAAGGTTGGGCTAATATGTTTTAACTGAAATGTAAAATAGCTACCATTCACTGGTTACCACTTTTCGTATTATCACACTTTATTTTTTTAATGTTATATGCAACTAGATAACCTGTTCCAAATAGTAAATTTGGGAAGAATTGGTACAAACATTTGTATACTCGAAAAAATCTATAATCTTAGTCAAAGAGCTACCATATTTTTTTGATACCAAGTTATCAGGACTCGTTATGCCTGACATAACTTGAATAAATACCCAGTTAAAATTTTCTGTGTGGAGAAAAGGACACACCAAGCCCAAAAAAACCCAACCAACACTCCACCACCACCTCTGCCCCCCGAAAAAAACAAACCCAATCTGAAATTTACTTGAGGCATAATTAAAAATTGGAGTAAATGGCAAGAGGAAGTAATGCACAAATCTTCCTACAGCAGATTTGACTAGCTGTAGCATTTTAATCTGTTTAGCTCTAACTTTGGCTTGAACAAAACCTTGTAGAGGACTTTAGTTAATAATTGTTCTGGAAAAGAAAAGGCAGTCAAGTTAAAACCTTGAGAACTTGCAAGAAAAAACAGAGACTTATTAGACAGCTTATGCTGAGAAGTGGCCTAAGGATTTAAGCAGCAAGAGGCTCGCTGGTTCCTTGATACAAGTAGCCTCTACATTCTCTCTGTACGGATACTTACCTTTCCTTTCAATGCCAGTTTATGGAAATTATTTAACATTTCTAACATATTACACTATTTCTTTTTTCTTTTGCGGTACGCAGGCCTCTCACTGTTGTGGCCTCTCCCGTTGTGGAGCACAGGCTCCGGACGCACAGGCTCAGCGGCCATGGCTCATGGGCCCAGCCGCTCCACGGCATGTGGGATCTTCCCGGACCGGGGCACGAACCCGCGTCCCCTGCATCGGCAGGCGGACTCTCAACCACTGCGCCACCAGGGAAGCCCCTACACTATTTCTTGAAATCCAAAACATTAAAAATTTAAAAACCTGGATTAACAAATATGATAAATAAAAGAAATATTCCTTTTACTTCAAAAATGTAAATGACTGAGTAATAAAACAGAACATATACTGAATCAATGCTTATTAAATCTTTCAAATACATATTAGTTATATCTTTTGTCTTAGGAAGTAATTATAAGAAGTATAATCAACTCTTTGATGATTCACAAAGGAGTAGTTCCTTTGTGAACTATATGGATGGGTATTGTAGCTGTAAATTTTTTTGCTGCTATCAGTTTATTTCCATAGATTGATTCCATTTTCCCGAAAGTGGGTACAAATTAAAAAACAAAATCTGTTCAGCCTCTGAATTACTTTTATTGCTTTTTTTCTCCCTGCCATTCTTCTGTAAAGAAACATTTTTTTAATCAGAAAAAAAAATACTTACAAAGCAGAATGTTTTAGGAGTCTTAACTTGAACAGCTATCCCTCCATGTAAATAAGGTTCCAGTTCTCTAGTATCACCAATGCTAAAAGAAAATGGTGATACCACTAAAAGGAGGAAAAAAGAAAACCATTACATACTGATATAAGTATTTAAATTTGAAGATTTATCACCATAAAGATGTTAATTTTTCATAGTTTACAAAATTAAGATCTCAGTATAAATCATTTTATTTGGTGGTGGGTGGAAGTGTGGGGAGCTAGACAGATTATTTTTCCCATACAAATATAAGGACTTAAGCAAAAATGGCCAAGAAAACTTGGAAGGAAAAAAAAGGAATGAGAGGTGCTTATTATTAGATATTAAAATACTTTATAAAGACTCAGTAATTAATATACTGATACTTTATATATATATAATTCATAATAATTAAAATAGTATGATACTGGTTCATGAATAGACAGGCAGACAAACAGAATAGATTATTCAGTAACAGACCCACAAGAGACACAATTAAGGTGGTACCTCAAACCAGCAAAGAAAAGATACTCAATAAATCTTTTGGAAAAAAAGCCATCTGGGAAAGTATTCCAAATGGATAAAAGTTTTAAATATCAAAAACGATGACAAAAAATTATTAGATAAGAGCATAGGAGAAAAATTGCTTTAAAACTTTGCAGTAAGGAAGGTTTTCCTAATTATGACTCAAAAGAAAAAATTGAAAGCTTTGACATCATATACACATAGAGCCATCATAAGCAAAGTCAAATGCCAAACCAGAAAAAAATTTTTGCGACTCATATTAAAAAAAAAAAAACTCAGCAAACATGCCCTATATATTAGGAGTTCTGGGGAAAAATAACAACTCAGTGAGAAAGTGGGCAAAGGACAGATGATTCACATTAAAGGAAAAAGAAATAGCTCTAAAACTTAAGAAAAGATACTTAATCTCATTCATAAAATGTAAAATGCAAATCAAAATTATACTATACCACTTTCAATCATACAGGAGACTATTCTACAATTACTGATGTGAAAAGACCATCTAGATGTTTAATTTAATGAAAAGGCAAAGGGTAGCTCTAGTCATAATATGTTACCTTGCATGTAAAAATGCATAAGGAAACCTGGAAGGGCACACAATAAACTAAGAATAGTGGACAGGTAAGAATGAGTGGGAGCCATAGGTGGGCAATAAAGTTTTCACTATAAACACTTGCCTTCTATTTTTTTTTAAATTAATTAATTAATTTATTTTTGGCTGCACTGGGTCTTCATTGTGCATGGGCTTTCTCTAGTTGCGGTGAGTGGGTCTACTCTTCATTGCGGTGCATGGGATTCTCATTGTGGTGGCTTGCCTTGTTGTGGAGCACGGGCTCCAGGTGTGCAGGCTTCACTAGTTGTGGCATGCGGGCTCAGTAGTTGTGGCTCGCGGGCTCTAGAGTGCAGGCTCAGCAGTTGTGGTGCATGGGCTTAGTTGCTCCGTGGCATGTGGTATCCTCCCGGATAAGGGATCGAACCCATGTCCCCTGCATTGGCAGGTGGATCCTTAACCACTGTACCACCAGGGAAGTCCCCCTTCTATTGTTTTTGAACGATTTGCTTATTCACAAAATTAAATTAAATAAACAAGGTTTATATATTAAGTAGACAGAAAAGGTCAGCAGAGTAAACATCAAACTTAGCTGCTGTTACTTCTGGAGTAGAGGGGAGGTCTGAACTAGTACTCATTTTTAACTCTACCTAAACATAAATATATATATATCTAGAATAAGCATATATTGTTTTAGCTATTTAAAAATGTTTTTCAAATAACAGAAAATTACTTTAGAGCAGTAAGTACCAACTAATAAATGTTAAGAAAAAAAAAGTTTCATAAACTGCTACTCTATTCAAATATTCTCTCTCTGCCCAAAGAATTTTTGGTACAAAATGTGGGTTTTATTTTCATTCCTTGATATCCAGTGGCTTCTCCTGTTAATATATACATATAGCCTCAAGATGCAGATCCAGCACCGCAATCCACCATTGCATGGCCCCCAACACAACAAAGGATAGTCCTAAATAGTTGAGTCAATTTATGCAAAAACAGATAAAAATTCTTTAATATCAGTGATCTCAATCTATATTTTACATATTTAGATACAGTCTGGGAAACAATCCAACAGTTTTGTTACCAAAGATTTTTTTTTTTAATATTTATTTATTTGGTTGCGCCGGGTCTTAGTTGCAGCAGGTGGGCTCCTTAGTTGTGACTCGTGGACTCCCTAGTTGTGGCATGCAAACTTTTAGTTGCGGCACGCATGTGGGATCTAGTTCCCTGACCAGGGATCAAACCCTGGCCCCCTGCACTGGCAGCAGAGTCTCAACCATTGTGCCACCAGGGAACTCCCCAAAGATTCTTAAATATAGATCCAAAGTTGTTTTGGTATAAAGAGTTCGTAACAGGGACTGATTTTTTTTTTTTCTCTCCTAAGGATCCATCTCGTAGTCATGAAAAGAAAAATAAAAGTAATCCATTTACTAGTCTATACACTAATCACATAATTATACTTTTAGATGCCCTAAAGATAAAACTGAATCACTCTCAACTGAACAGGTGTAAACATGCTGTCTCTGAGTTACAAGACATCTAGCAATGTCTTTAACTCTTTTAAACATGGCTGGAGGAAAATCACAAACTACACAGACTAACGCTGCTATAAATTCATTATTTTCAACTTCAAATGGATCCTAAATGAAGCCTGATGATTTTTCGATTTTTTAAAATGTTTATTCTCCTCAAATCTCTGGCCTTACCACCTTACCTCTCCTTTGGGTCATGATTTCATCTCAGTCCACTGACAAAACATTCCTACAGCTTCTTGCCAATAAATCCACAAACCTGCCTGCAGTAACATCCATTCATCCCTTTATCCAAGCCACTGAACAAAAACATATATCTTCACTTGAATACTTCACTGTCACCTCACCCAACAAGCCTAGACTGTACTCATTATCTCTCTCCAAAACCTGCTCCTCTTCTTGCACTCCCTAATGTGTAAATAAGGTGCCAGAATCTTCGCTCACCTACCATAAAGTTTTCTCTTAAATGTCTTAAGACTCTTGCTATCTCAACTCCCACTGTCACCCCTGCTATATTATATCTTTAAGTTCTTTGAATTCTATCTTGCTTCTTACTGTTTGTCTCTGCACAGAATATTCTTTTCATCATCTTCGTAAGCCAATGCAATCAATTTTAATCAAGATACCCTGTCCCCACTGCTGCTGTACCAAAAGTGAGTAGGTTTCCTTGCTAAGGTTAGAGTTCCCAGAATGCCTTTTCTCTCTTTATACCATCACTGCTGAATGTTAGTATCCCCTCACCTGGATTAAATGTCTTGAGGCCAAGAATTGGATCATGTCTGTCTGAGCTGATGGTGTGTTCTTGACACTGAGTATAGTGTCTGAACTGTAAACATGCTGAATAATGGATAAGTATAAATGAATTAATAAAACACATAAACTTACCAGTTATTTGTTGTGTAGATCCATTTAAGCCTGTCATTCCATTAATTTCTCGAAATGTTAGGAATTGTCCTGTTTCAAGTTTGTGAGGACGATTTTCAAGGCAAGTGACAATGCCAGGATTAGCCTAGAAATAAGAGTAATATACTAAAAAACAAGTCCATGTATTCCTTTTTTGTACAAATTCCAAATCTCACACAAAAAGGAACATATTATCATAAAATTCTCAAAATAACCAAAATTCCAAGCCATTCTTCTCCTTCCATATTAAAAGCAATGCTTTAAAGAATTGTAACAAAATAGTGACTTATCATTTTATTATGTGATTTTCAAACTTATTTTATTATGAATGTTTAAAATATAATTTCTGTGTTTGGGGGAAACAGATTCCACAAGGGAGTTCAAATATTTCACAGATGCAAAGATTCTTGTGATTTATAAAAACATTCAAAGTGACTGAATGGTAAGTTTCAAAGTCATTCATGACAGACTCTGTACATAAAAGATGAGTCTAACTTTGAAGATCAAAGAAATGTAAGAACAAAGGATGGAAATTTAAAGCCAGGAAAGTGGTAGTTTAAAGCTTATCCAACACTTTAAAGCAAAGAAATATTATGTATCCCTGCTTATCAAGATAAAAACAGGAAGGAATTGGCTTAACTCACCTAAAAGGTGGATGAGATAGGTCAGACACCAGGAAATTTCCTAACTGCATATAATCCATCACATTGCTTGAATAATGTGATAATAATTTAATTTACATAAAAACTAATAGAATTATAATTCTCTCTTTCATAAGTATGTAGATTATAAAAATTCTCTTGCTGTTTAAGGGTTTGAGAAATACAATTATGATCACAAACATGTAGATAAAATTAATGTAATGTGGGTTTACTAATATCTCAACAAGAACAGAATTCATAAGGACTTTAAGGAGAAATAATTTACAGATAAGTTAAATGGGAACATTCATGATATTTTTCTAATTTTTTATGGATAACCTCCATATTTCCTGCACTAGTCAATAAAAGACAATATCAGTGCAATACAAGATCCCTTGGAGCTTATTCTAACTCTATAATATTCTTAGGGACAAACCAACAATAACTAGAGAAGGTAAAAGGCTGAACAATAACCATTCTGTAAGCAAAGAGATACACAAAATGATTTTTCAATGAATTTTTTCTTAAAAAGGGGTGAGAAAGGCAACATTACACTGGCTTTAAAAAGAAAGCATAAAGATAAAATCACAAATACTATTCAGTCAAAGTTTATTATCATTTCCTTATGTTTGGTTTCTTTTGAGCTTTAATGTAAATTGATCATTAAGAGTGCAAATAAAGTTAATGATTTAGGCTAAACTACAGAAAAAGTAGTAAAAATGGATCATAATAATTTCTCCAATTCTTTCAGGGAATAAAAAATTAAGCTTGCATGATATTAAGAGAACATGGTTAGAAAATTCAGAGTTTTTGATTTGAAGGTTAATTAACTCTTAAACTTTTCTCATCCTCCAAATAATGTTTTAGAAATATAACAAATTAGAAAAGCTTTTGTTTATGATGACTTAAGTGTTCATCTTCCTGGAGTCAGAGTGTTGGGCCAAGTGACTTATTACATACTTAGTACATCTATGATCTGACAAATCAACAGTTCAGTAAACACTGACTCACAATTCATGTCCCACAGGAACATGACAGAGAACAAAATTAAAATTAATGACATAAGCAAATGTTCATCAATTGTTAAAAAATGTTAGATGGAATCCAGAATACTCTCTCTTAATATTCTAACTTCAATTTTAAACAAATAAAAAATACTGCATATTACAATATTTTGCTAATATCACCTTTTAAAAAATAGTTTTCACATCAACTTAAAAAAATCAATCATATACATATACAATAATATATGTATATAATCATACTTGCGTTATATTTGAAATGAAAATCTCTTTTGGTTCCTCTCCTGTTGTATCTAAAACTTCAAATTCGTCACCGAAATCACAAAACAACCGTGACCAAATTCCATGTATATCTGCACTGATGAACTGTGAAATGAAGAAACAAGTTCAAGCTTATACATTTATATAAAGAAAAAAAAACCCTCAACTATCTTAGGCCTTTTGGTGACAATTTTATTTATAATTAAGCATATTATTTGAGGTATAAAGTGACCACAAATATGATAATTTGTTTGTAAATTGGTTTTGGAATCAAGGATTTTGATATTTCGGACTGGATATCTAGTGTTAACAAAATTAGAAGCAACATCAGCACACCATCATTGTACATTCTATAATTTTTAAATAACAAAAATTCGTGCCTTGCCCTAAAAATCAAGCACAGAATATAAGAAAGATAACTTGGTTTGACAGTCTAGCAGTGAATTCTTACTTTTCATTTTAGAAAAGAAGAATGGAGTGTCCATTCACCAAAAGTGGTAGAGTTGAAGGAAAATAAAACAGCTAAAAACTCAGAGTGGCGTCAACAGGAAAGGGGCTGAGGTACTAACAGTGCACATCGAAATTATGAAAGGTAAGAATCAGATTCTTAAACACAATCATAAATGTTTTATTGAAAGTGATTTTTATAACATTCTCCAGTCTAAGAAAATGTAAAGAAATCATTTTTGTGCTCAGTTAGTTTTAGACATACTGATAATAAAGAAAAAGTCTTAATCTGTAACACATATGATCCTGTATAAGGTGATATTTTTCTAACAAAAACTAAAGCCAATCATATTTGGGCATAAGAACGTAGCCCATTAAAATAATTTATACCACCTATTATATGAGGTAGTGAAATAGCTAACAGAAGACTACCTCCTACCTGATCATGCACTGCCTTTACTATCAAAATAGGTACCTACAGCATTTTTTATGAGACATAAAACTGAGAAGAAATTTATAAGCTTTTTTTTTAAGTTTAAAAGCTGCAAACTCAAGGACAATTTCTTTCTTTGCAAAACAACTTTAAAGTATGAATATATGCATCAATCACATAAAGATTTTACTTTACAACCTTGTGTAATTATTTTGTAAAACTTTTTTTTTTTTTTTTTTTTTTTTGGTATTCCGGCCTTCTCTTTTTTTGGCCTCTCCCGTTGCGGAGCACAGGCTCCGGATGCGCAGGCCCAGCGGCCATGGCTCATGGGCCCAGCCGCTCTGCGGCATGCGGGATCCTCCCGGACTGCGGCACGAACCCGTGTCCCCTGCATCGGCAGGTGGACTCCCAACCACCGCGCCACCAGGGAAGCCCTATTTTGTAAAACTTTTGTGTTCTGTTCTAAGTTTACTGACTACTCTGTCTTATTCATCTACTTAATTTAATTTGTAAAACAACACAAATGTTCTACAGAGTATAAATATGCTATGTAAGTACCACAATCCAAAGATTTTCAGCACATCTATTTTATACAGTATGATGATAGTTTAGTGCCTATCTCAAAGGAACAAATAGCATTTTCCTTTTGCCAAAGGAACAAAGGACCCCACGAAGGAGGTGGAGTTAGTAATATGTATGCAGTTGTAGGGGATGCAGACCTTTTTCCATTCTTCTCATCTAGACCTCTTTCCATTCTTCTCAATGTCATCACTACTTAACAATACCTAATTACTCTGAACAAAAATCTAGGAGTCATTCTTTATCATTCTTTCCTTCACAACTCTTATTCATCCATTCTCAATCCCATTAGTCTGTTTTTACAAAAGATACCTCGAATTCAATGACTTCTCACACTCTCTATTCCCATCAAGGCACAAGTATCTCTCACTTGGACTACTTACTGCATTAGCCCCTAACTGGTCTAGCCACCTCTACTCTACTGCTACAATTCAACAGTTCTCTTTCTTTTTGGTTTCACGATCCCTTCACATTCTTAAAAATTACTGATGACCCAATTAGATTTTATTTATGTGGGTTATACCTACTGATATTTACTGTGTTAGAAAGTAAAACCAAGAAACACTTAAAAGACAAGAACACACACACACTTTCAATTAGCTGTCAGAGCAATAATATCACCACATATCAAGTAGACTTTGTAAACTCTATTGCACCCCATAAGAGAATCAGAGTGAAAAAAGCAAATAACATTTCAGTAATATTATAATAGTTTGACTTTGCAGACCCTATGAAAGGGTCTCAGGGACCCTCAGTGTCCTTGGACCACACTTCGAAAACCAAAATTAAAAAGTATTATTGATTGTCCTCATGTAAAAAGTTTCTTATATAACTCACTGAAAAGCTATAAATTCTAATACTGAAAGTGCTTTTCCTTTGGTAAACTATGTGTCATTATTAAGTGATACTACTACCTTTATTGGAGGGCACTGAGAACGGCAAAAGTCATTGATCTTCTTCTGAAATGATAGTTTGATCTCAGTCAATACTACACACTGTTGAGAAGAATACAAGAATTAAAGATTAAAAAATAAACAATTATTTTGGTAATGTACAACTTCTAAATCAGAAGCATTTCAGTTTGCACTATGCTAAAAATACCTTGTTTTCTTGGTAAAAAATACTATCATATTGTACTCCATTTTAAGGTCAATACCTTCAGAGGTACAGAGTAGCAAAAGTAAAAGTAACATATACAGCCATCTCTAGGTATCTGCAGGGGATTGGTTCTAGAACTCCCTGTGGATACCAAAATCTGCAGATACTCAAGTCCCTTACATAAAATGTCATAGTATATACAGGACAAAACCTGCCCACACTAAATTCAATTATCATCACAATTAGAAGCAAACCTTAATATCCTATGTGGCATTTACACAACCCAAATGGTTGGAGGTTTTTTTTTTGTTTTTTTTTTCCGGTACGTGGGCCTCTCACTGTTGTGGCCTCTCCCATTGCGGAGCACAGGCTCTGGACGTGCAGGCTCAGCGGCCATGGCTCACGGGCCCAGCCGCTCCGCGGTATGTGGGATCCTCCCGGACCGGGGCACGAACCTGTGTCCCCTGCATTGGCAGGCGGACTCTCAACCACTGCACCACTAGGGAAGCCCCTTGGAGATTTTATTTTACCTGTTACTGCCATGGAAATGCTTAGTCATCAAAATATTAATTAAATGCTAGCTTAAAACAATTACATTTTCAAAGAGATACATTAGTTGGCTGAGCTTTCTTTTACTTTTACTGCAGAGATTCAACAGATTCACAATATTACAACTTTTATTTATGACAGTGCCACCAAGTTCTGTTATTTAAGATAGCAAATTATAATTTTCAATGCTTACTTTAGTTTTTTATCATCACCCTGTGAGATAAGTAGAGAAGGTTTTATAATTAGATTTTATCATAGCTAACTTAAACTCATAAAGGTCAAATATTTTCTTAGGGTCATTTATCTATCAAGTGGCAAAAGCAGGTTGACACTCTCAGTCCAGAGCTTTCCTTACTGCTGGTTTCCATGAAATGGATAACTTAGTTTCACTACAAATAACCAGGTATGGATTTAGTTTTATCTAGCTTACAATAGGGTGTGATTCCTACAGAGCGGTAATCCTCCATCGATCTCTTACTGTTTATATATCTCTCACTGGGTATACCACGAATGCAAGGCTCTGACCATTCTTTACGTGGGCTGTTTCTCAGGTTTGTATTTGCCTTGTGCAGACTTGAGAAATGAGGTGATGTCTCCCTCTGGGACAAAGCGCAAGCTTGTTCACTGCTTGCTATAAAACAGCAAGTTCCCCAAGCTCAATGTTCCTTTCCTCTAAAGGAACCCACTACATGTGCAGGCATCCACTGAGCCCTCTGCACTGCACAGGTGGGATTTGGAGGAATGCAGGAGGAAACAAGGCAAATATCATGCTCACACATTTACCATGCTCTAAGTAATAAAGTCCTTAGTCTCTGATCCAGGAATCTCATGTTTTCTGCCAGCATCCATGAAACTGTAACAGGCTAACTTACTGGCTTGCAATTAGGGTAAAATCAAATCCTATTAGACCCAGTACATACTGAGTCTAATTTGTGTTTCATCAATACTAGAAAATTCTCAACCATAATTTGAATATGACTTTTTCTAGAAGTCCAATCTCACGAATTAGACCTTTTTATTCAAGCTCTCATTTCTTTTAATTTCTCTTTAGTATATTCTCTTATTACTGTGAGCTGTAGTTTTTATTTTTAGATTTAATTCTATTTATTTATTTATTTTGGCTGCGTTGGGTCTTCGTTGCTGTGCGTGGGCTTTCTCTAGCTGTGGCAAGCAGAGGTTGCTCTTTGTTGCTGTATGCAGGCTTCTCATTGTGGTGGCTTCACTTCTTGCAGAGCACGGGCTCTAGGCGTGGGGGCTTCAGTAATTGCAGCACACGGGCTCAGCAGTTGTGGCACATGGGCTCTAGAGCACAGGCTCGGTAATTGTGGTGCACGGGCTTAGATGCTCTGCAGCATGTGGGATCTTCCCGGACGAGGGCTCAAACCCCTGTCCCCTGCACTGGAAGGTGGATTCTTATCCACTGCACCACCAGGGAAGTCCCTGTGGTTTCACTAATCTCCTCAGCTCTATCTTTCGATTTATTAATTCTTATTCCAGTTGTATCTATCCACTATTTAATATATTCATTGTTTTAATTTTTAGGACTATATTTTTCATTTCTAAAAGTTCTATTTGGTTATATCTGCCTGATTGCTTTCAATAGTGTCTTATTTTCCTGTTGTATATTTAATCCCTTCTTGTAAGATTTAGTCTGTTTGAACATCTATATTTTATAGTCCCTATCCAATAATTCTATTGTCTGAAATTCTTGGAGGTTTAATTCTATTGTTTGTTATATCCACTGACTCTTGGTCATGCTGAACTGCTTTTTCCTGTCTTATTATTTTGTATTATGAACACAGCCTCATAGGAGCTTTACATATTAGAATATACTGTGGCCTGGTTGAGGGTATATGCCTCTAGATCTTCTGTTTCTGTCTGGCATTCCAGCATATCACCAGCTTAGTACTATGCTTTGTGTGTGTGTGTGTGTGTGTGTGTGTGTGTGTGTGTGTGTCAAGATATTTATTGTGTACATGATAGTTTACTGTCTTTTTCAAATTCTAAGCCCTGTATAATTCATTCACTCATTAGGCTAAAAGAGGCCTTAGGAAGTTATTCAATATAATCTCCTGAATGCAGGCAAGTCTACATGATAATGTGCATAGAAGTAAAATCAAGACTTAAAATCTTTAAAATCACAAGGCACCTTCACAGCTTTCTCAATCACACTTGTTTCAAGACATAACAATCATCTCAAATATGTTATACACAAAAAATTACTGATCGGACATTCACAAAATATGCTTTGAATGAAAATAACATAGCAACAATTCACTCAGAGACACCTATATGGCAAAAACTATACCACAATACAAATCAGAAATAAGAGTTTAGGGTGAAAATTTGAAAAAGGTACAAATTTAAGGGCTGATAACCTAACTTTTCTTAAACTTACTGCTCTCTGTCTCCAAAGTTGTGCTATATCAATGACAGTCTTCCACAGTGCCTCTTCTCTATAAAAGGTGAATATACCAAAACCAGTCCAACTGGGTAGTCACAGATTGTAACTAATGCAAGTCAGTTTTGTAAGGTGTATTTGATATTCCATCTACATAACCAGGAACTGTCTTAAATAATAACCATCCTATATTTAACCACAACCATAAATCTCATTCTGAATCAATTGAAGAAAATGCCCCAAAATTCTGATTTAATTCAATTTGAAAACCAATTCATTTCCATATAAACCATTTTTTAAAAAAGAAGCTGGAATAACATTCTGAATTATTCATAATCCTGGGAAATCATTAACTTGGGCAGTGGTTGGAAACAGCATAAAAGAAATTATCAACCAACTTCTCTCACCCCTTATATAAGAAAGAAACGTTACTTTAATAGTTAAGAAGGCAATGAATTGGCTGACAAGGGCCCATGGTCTATGGATGAATCTAGAGATAGAATTAGGGAATGGGACACCAACTTGTGTTGAGATGTAGAATCTTCAATATTTACCAAATCTTTTCCAGAGGTAATACCTTTGCTGGCTTGTCTTTCTTTTTTTCTCTCTGGTGAAACTATAAATTCTGAACTACCAATGATCAATTTCTGTGACATTTCCACCACTGACACTGGAAAAAGCTTTGTTTTACAAAAAAATACACAAAGTACATTTTTCTGAGAAGCAGATGAACAGTTGGGGTATTCTGTGGATTTTTTTTACCACAGCTGCTAACAGCCATTTGCTTAACTCTGCAACAAAAGCAACTTGAAAGAAAGACGTTTCCACAGTTTGAGGAAAAGAATCAGACCAAGAAGGATAAGGGAAGCTGATGGAGAAAACTGTAACTTCCAAATGGTGAGGTCCTTAGGTTAATGATGCACTAGACTTACAGTCACACATTAGAGTTCACTCAGTATGACAGACTCTAGGTCTATCTACCTCACTACAAATAACTCAATTTCGTTTCCTTTTATGGCTGAGTAATATTCCACTGTATATATGTGCCACATCTTCTTTATCCATTCATCTGTTGAGGGACACTTAGGGTGCTTCCATGTCCTGGATAGTGTAAATAGAGCTGCAATGAACATTGTGGTACATGACCCTTCTTGAACTATGGTTTTCTCAGGGTATACGCCCAGTAGTGGGTTTGCTGCGTCATATGGTAGTTCTATTTTTAGTTTTCTAAGGAACCTCCATACTGTTCTCCATAGTGGCTGTGTCAATTTACATTCCCACCAACAGTGCAAGAGGGTTCCCTTTTCTCCACACCCTCTCCAACATTTAATGTCTGTAGATTTTTTTGATGATGGCCATTCTCACCGGTGTGAGGTGATAGCTCATTGTACTTATGATTTGCATTTCTCTAATGATTAGTGATGTTGAGCATCCTTTCATGTGTTTGTTGGCAATCTGTATATCTTCTTTGGAGAAATATCTATTTAGGTCTTCTGCCCATTTGGGGATAGGGTTGTTTTTTTGATATTGAGCTGCATGAGCTGCTTGTATATTTTGGAGATTAATCCTTTGTCAGTTGCTTTATTTGCAAATATTTTCTCCTATTCTGAGAGTTGTCTTTTCGTCTTGTTTATGTTTTCCTTTCCTGTGCAAAAGCTTTTAAGTTCCATTAGGTCCCATTTGTTTATTTTTGTTTTTATTTCCATTTCTCAAAGAGGTGGGGTCAAAAAGGATCTTGCTGTGACTTACATCACAGAGTGTTCTGCGTATGTTTTCCTCTAAGAATTTTATAGTGTCTGGCCTTATATTTAGGTCTCTAATCCATTTTGAACTTATTTTTGTGTATGATGTTAGGAATTGTTCTAATTTCATTCTTCTACATGTAGCTGTCCAGTATTCCCAGCACCACTTATTGAAGAGGCTGTCTTTTCTCCACTGTATATTCTT